TTCCCTCACTGTGTGATCTTTGAGAGCAAGATCGCTGTTTTCTTCATCTTTGGATCTCCAAGATCTAATACAATACCTAATACCTACTAAATGCTCTAGAATTGTTTGCTTAAGATAGGCATCAGAAATGGCCAGCATTTTTGTCTACCAAGAGCCTTTAAATATATGGGTTTGCCTTTGTGGATTAATCATGGTCCTTGGTCCAACTCTGTCTTGAAAGCTAAGGTCTTTGGTTCTGTCAGCATATGGTGAGGAACTAGCTCAGTGGTGGTCTTTCACAACAAAGATCTCAGAGATGTATATATAGTTATTAGCAACATTTTTTTTTAGAGTTTTTTCCTGCTATAAGGTATGTTTGTTCATTGGAGACAGAAAGGGAGCAATCACCCCCCAGGAGGATGGTCATGCAGCGATCCCTTCTCCTCCATTCTCCTCTTGGGATTTTGGGCACACGCTCACACACACATACTTGCCTTCAGTTTCAAGCCACTGTGTCTGGGACTTGAACTACAGTCGACCATGTGGAAGTCCAGCACCTTAACCATTATGCCACCAGCTGGCCCTATTATCAGCTTGTTTTAACATAGGATGCATGTTTGTCAGGTTCCAGAAGTGCCAATGTCAACTTCTCTCATATTTCCTGTCATTACAGGTAGACCTTCATGGGACATATAATAGGGATCAATAGGGATCCAACTGCCACAGGACAAAAGTACTTAAGTCCTTGGGCCCCACAGGTTGCCTTTCCTCCAGGCACTGCCATTTTCTGGTTCTTTGTACTTCTTTAATTTTGCAATCTACTCTATCAATTCAATATCTAGTCACAAATATTCATCAAACAAGATGGACATTTACCTGTCCTTTGTACCTTCCTGACTTTTGTTTATGGATTTTTACTGACTTAACTCTCAGAGGACAACATTATAACCTTATTTCCAAATTGTTTTTGTGTATGTTTTTGTTTTTGTTTTGTTTTATAGTGGATTTCTTGCTGTCACCTGAATGCCTGTGAAGATTAACAATTTCTGAATGTTATAGAAACTTTGAAATATATGTCAGCATCATTCTGTAAAGTTGAATGGTTAATATCTACTGTATAAGACAGGAGAAACTAGATTTGTGCCTCTGTGTCAACCCATGATCCTAATATATATGTGCTGCATAAATTTTTCTAATTTTTTTTCTCTAGGCATTATATCTGATAGCCACTAATGGAACCCCAGAGCTCCAGAATCCTGAGAGACTGTCAGCTGTATTCCGTGACTTTTTAAATCGCTGTCTTGAAATGGATGTGGATAGGCGAGGATCTGCCAAGGAGCTTTTGCAGGTGAAAATCAAATAGGACAATTACAAAGAAAGAGTCATGATATTGAGCTTTTCCATCTCCATGTGTGACAGTAAGAGAGCTCTGTCAAGAGATGTCTATTCCGTTAGGCTATTAGCATTTGATTTTAGAGCACAGGCACATGATATAGGCGGGATCTAATAGATGATTGACACAGTGCCTTTCTTCTGAAAAGTTAGTAGTTTAATCCATAAATATCTCGTGTTTTTCTTGAAATCTTATTTTACAAGGGAAAAAAAATCCTTCTGGTGTTGCTGTTTTGTTCTAAACTTTATTTGTGCCAAGGATGTATGCTGGTGCTCTGGCCCGGGGTAATTGTCTATGTAACTCTGCAGTTATTTCTGAGGCATCTGTTACTCTAAAGTTTTGCTGATCAAAACCTCTTTGCTTGTGATGCCAAATGCCAGGTTCCTGTTTGTCTGGATAAGTACTGTCCAGTATTATGTGCCTGTGTAACTATTTGTCCTTTCATGACTCCAGGGATTAGTATATATAAGGACAATTAGTATCTATATTATGTATCAAATTCTTTATATACTTTATCTCATTTGATTCTTACAACAGCCTTACAGGAGGGTAGGTGTTATCCCATTTTGTATATGCGAAAATTGAGGTTCAAACAGCTCTTAAGTGTTACCTGGAATTCAAACTCTGGGTTCTCTGACTTTCCATCACATTTCACACACAAACCAAACCGAAAAAATGTATATTTATTTGATAAAGCAGTATATGCCCAGGATTATACACATAGATTCACTATTGGGAACTGTTCCTTGGGCACATAGATGAAGGGATTTCTAAAAGTTTGTGGGAAAATGAAATTAAAGTATGAGTTTATTTTGGTGCAAAAAAATTAAACCTATGCATAGATTTTTCATAATGCACATTTCTATGAACTTTTTCAAGACCTCTCATATCAAGACTTATAACATCTAAGAACAGTGACTACTTGTTCTCTCTGTGACTTTGAATAAGCCTATTAAACAAAGGGTGCAATATTTGATTATACATTGTTAACCATAGTTACAATTTCTCCAACCCCAACCCAAATCTCACCTGGGATAAACCTATTTGGAGGAATTAAATATACTAACACATTATTTTCTGCTATGAGCATTTCAGAGGTTGTGATAAGGCCCTAAAATATCAAACTTGGAATGACCCTTTGTTAATGCTCTGGTTAATTCATCCTGAAATTACAGATGAAAACCCTGACTTTGAGTGCTGCTTTACTTCCACATCATTTTACCCCTCCCTCTACCAAATATACCATCCTGATGCACCAGTCCCATTATGCCTTCCCTGAGGAAAAGCAAAGATATAGGTACTTTTTTTTTTTTAAGAATTTTAAAATTTAACTTTATTTTAACTTGACTAGAGAGGGACAGAGTGAGAGAGAGGAAAAGTGAGAAAGCAAGTCGCCAGGTGCAGGACTCAAACAACAGTCAGCCATGTGAGTGTCTAGCACCCTTAACCATCCCGCCACCTGCTAGCCCCAATATAGGTTCTTTTAAAATAGCTATACAGCTAAATAGATTATTGAATCTATTATCTCGTTAATTGGTTTCCCATCAATTCTTTTATGTGAACCAGTCATATAATTGATACAGAACTATAGTTTGAGTCTAAATTGAATACTTTGTTCATCTTTTCCATGTAAGCAATAACCCATATATCTCCTTAAATCTATATTACTCTATTTTCTAACATCAGTGCTTATTTTAGAGGTCGGAGAAGAAAGAGGTGCATGACAGTCATGCCACTGAAAAGCTAGAGAAAAGACACAGGACTAAATATTTGTATACTTTTCTGTATGGCCTAAGTCAATTCTCTGTTCATCAGTGAATATTTATTGAGCAACTTCAGTTTATAATGCACAGTGAGTGATATAAATTTGTTAAAAGCATGACTCCTACTCTCAAGAAATTTATAAATTCCTTGGGCACATAAAAAGATAATGAAAGCCCATTTAGACATTCATTGAAACTGTCTGTTCAAATAGTGAATTATATGGTTAATTAGAGAAATAACCCCTGTAAGCTAGAGTGATCAGAAAATATCTGTGAATAGGAAAGAATTTTGCTGGTCCTGGGGAAACAGAAGATAGGTTAAAAAAAAATAAGGGAAGGGATTTCAGATGGAAGTGTTATAGTGTAATCAAAGGCAGGCAGGCAGTGTTTAAGGAAACAAATCTACAAAAAACTGTAGTTTAAGTTCCAATTCAAATAAGGAAGCTTAAGGAGGTAAGACCATAGAGGGCCTTGGACACTAGGCAGTGGGGAAATGTGGAATATAACTGAGGAACAAACATCATGAAAGGTTTGTCTAGTAATGTCTGTCTCATAATATCCAATAAGAATTAGCAAAAGGAAAAGAATGGAATCAGAGAGACCAAGGGAGAATTATTATAGTTTGAGGTTAAGTTGATTAGATCTGTGTTAAGAGAAGCAAGAGATAAACCTAAGACACATTGAGAAGAAAGTACTTGGTAACTGATTGCACGTGCTTTATAAGGTAGAGTAAGATTAAAGACTTCAGGGTATCTAGGACCAGCAGTTGGCGTAATGGCTATGTCGCTAGACTCCCATGTAGTTGACCGCAGTTCCAGTCCTGGACCCGGTGGCTTAAAACTCACACTGGGCGTGTGTGCGTGTGTGCCCAAGATCCCAAGAGGAGAATGGAGGAGAAGGGATTGCGGCATGATCATCCCCCCTGGGGGGTGATTTCTCACTTTCTGTCTCTCTGTCTCTCTCTGTCTGGCAAGCACATGTGCCTTATAGCAAAAAAAAAAACTTTCAAAAAAAAAAAAGACTTCAGGGTATCTAGGACCAGCAGTTGGCGTAATGGCTATGTCGCTAGACTCCCATGTAGTTGACCGCAGTTCCAGTCCTGGACCCGGTGGCTTAAAACTCACACTGGGCGTGTGTGCGTGTGTGCCCAAGATCCCAAGAGGAGAATGGAGGAGAAGGGATTGCGGCATGATCATCCCCCCTGGGGGGTGATTTCTCACTTTCTGTCTCTCTGTCTCTCTCTGTCTGGCAAGCACATGTGCCTTATAGCAAAAAAAAAAACTTTCAAAAAAAAAAAAGACTTCAGGGTATCAAACCAATGGTAACATTCAGTAGAACAGCAAGTGATAGAGGATAACACAACAACTAACATTTCTTGGCCCCTGTGTAGCTTACAAGAGACTGTTACTTATCTCATTTAATCATCATAATAAACAGAGGCAGAGATTGAACTTCGGTGCTTGACTCAAAAGCCCCTATGGTTTATATCACACAAAAGTACCTTTTTTGGGAGACTTTAACATTTTTAATGTTAAATTTACAGTGACAGAGAACACTCCCAAAGGAAATACCCAGGAAGTGTTGGCGAACTAGGATCAGCATTCCGGAAACAGATCGGATCACATAGTATAGATTTGAATCATCTTCATAAAGCTGCTCATAGTTTGAAACCATGAGAGGAAATGAGATCTGAAATGATTAAGTTAGAAAAATATGATGAGAGCCAAATTCTGGTAGGTGGGAGGTAGTAGGAGGATGTGAAACCAGGGAAGATAGAGAGCGAGCATAGTCAGTGCACATGCATGTGGGAAACCCAAAGCTGTAAAAAGTCACAGGCATCCAAAGAGGAAGACGTTTCAACAAAGGAGGAGATAGTCACTTGTATTAAGTACTGCAGAGGGGCCACAAAAGAAATGGTGGAGACATAGTTTGTTGGATTTGGCAGTTAAGAAGCTATTGATTTCAGGGTAAAGTTCTTTAGTGGTCAACTGAAGACTCTTTTTCAAGTTTTTGAGGGCTACTCCAGATAAATCCATCCATTTAAGTAAATCAGAAAGTCTGACTATTGAAAACAAGTGAGATATTATAAAATTCCTACTGAGTTCTGGCTGTACCAGTCAGCATTCAGAGGATTTCAGGATACCAAAGTACAAAAACATCAGAAGGACAAAATCTGGCACCTTTTTAATTAAATGGTATTTAATTGGGTGATCAAAATACATTTTTATAAAAAGGGCTAATAGAAAATGTAAAATATATACTCATTGGAGAAAAATTTTCCAGTAACTCTTTTTCCCCCCCTTTCTTTTGCAGCATCCATTTTTAAAATTAGCCAAGCCTCTCTCCAGCCTGACTCCTCTGATTATCGCTGCAAAGGAAGCAATTAAGAACAGCAGTCGCTAGGACTGCAAGCCTTACCCCTCACCGTCTCACTCATGAGTAAGACTGAAATAAAACTCTGCTGCAGGAAAGATGAAAGAAAAGACAGTCAAACTGGGTGGTGGTTCTTTAACTTTCATATGCATAGAAACTTCTTATAAGCCTTTTTCCTACTCCTTCAGAATATGTAATTTATTTGTAAGCCTGAATCGCAGCCCAAATAGGGCAGCAATGTTGAAGTGGCCATAAAGTGGTCACTTCCACCGTGAAGCGAAAGAGCCAGTAGTGAATCCTCTCATTTTGTGCATTCACTTTGAAGAAAAAGGTTTCTCAAAGATGCACACTCCCTCTTCATAGTGTTGTGTTTGTTTTTAAGTTAGAGAGTAGTCCCTCTTGCATTCAAACCTCCTTCAAAATTCCTTACCCAATGTGATGTTTTTCACTTGCATCGTCATTAGATGTCCAGAAAAAAGATGTCAAAATGTTTTTTTAGAAAAAGAAAGCAAAAAAGCAAAGCAAAAAAACAAACAAAAAGAAAAAAAAACACAAAAAATAAACAAACAAACAAACAAAAAAACAGAGCAAGTGCTGTGTGAACATGTGGAATTCCATGCCCTAATAGAGTTGCAATTTTTTATTCTTCTTCTATAGTGGATGCTTGGTTTGTGTACCTATTTTTCTGCATTTGTATTGGAAAAGGTTTCTTTTAAGACATTTTCCAAAAGCAGAGAGGAATATGTGTGTTCAGGAAGGGATTTTAAAAACCATATAAATAAAGCTCCAACGGTGAAATCTTTTCACTAAATCAGTGATTCTTAAGAGGTAGTTGAATTATCATTTATTTAAACCAGCTTGTTCATCTTCATGATACCTGCAAAAAGGCACACTGCAACTGTGGAATCCCTGTTGGGTAAGTCCAAGTCCTAAACCTCAGAAATTCTGACAAGATAAACCATATTAAAACAAAGATGGAACTTTCTCTGAGCCAAAAGGAAAACAAAATATGTGCATAATACTGAAATCCTTATTGACATTAAGTAAACAAAGGTAAAGATACCTAATTTAATCCTCTCTTGTGCTTGTGAAACATACACTGTAAAACAGGCACATGAAGAGGAAATGGATCCATTAACCAGCATTTCCTCATGACAAAAATAGTATTTGGTTTGACAATTTTTGTCATTTTAAAAACTGAAAGATAGGATCTGGAGAACAGTAAGTATTCAACTCCATAACAAAAAGGAGATCAGGGAAAGTTACATCCCAATCAACATTTGGCTTTAAATTCTTGTTACTATTTTCCTTATGTATCACTGATTTCTGTTTCAGGATATGGTGTATTAATGCTTAGATCCTGCATATTTCAAATTAATAAAGATTAATTAAAGATCTTGAGATTAATAAATATCTTGAGATTCTCCAGTGAAAATAATTTTGGTTTGAAATCATGTACTAAAAGAAATGGCATTCCATCTGGATTCCTTTTGTGACTTGGAGAAAATACCCAAAATTGGCTGTTATTTCACCATGTGTCTATTTAATTAAAAGTCAACATTTGGCAATTCCTGAATCTTCAAGAGTGGAAAAATATCTGGAAGGCATGCAAATAGCAGGATATGCTTCTCTTTTGAGTGTATTGTCAATTTTATAAATTATGGAAAGCTGTTTCTCTAAGCCTTTGAAAAGTTAGCAATTTGTGCTGTAGAAGGCTTCTTGATTTGTAGTATATAAAGAATCTGAATAGAACCTATCTACATTCAGCAAGAGGGGGAAAGAGATCAATGATATAGGCCTCTCCTTCTCTGCCAAGGTACATCCATCCATCTAACCAACCATCCTTACATTCCTTAAAATGAAAACTTTCTTTAGTTCCTGCTCACTGTATAGTCCACGTGTTTATGTTTAGGAGACAACATCACTGGTGGATTTCCTATTGTTCTCTAACTGTAAGTCTGGCGGGGGGGGGAGTTGATCACTGCCTCCTACCCTTGAAAATGCCCCCTGAGATGAAAAGTGAAAAGAAAATTAAACGGTAATAATAATCTGAACCATACTATGGTATATTTTGCAAAAAAAAAAAAAAAAGAAAAACAAAAAGAAAGAAAAGGTTTCTAGTCCTAAAATTTTTAATGCCACACTGCTCTAATGTGTGTGTGTGTGTTGCGGGGGGGGGGGCTTAATTCTTATACCATTTAATATTGTTTAATTTTTTTTCATTAATAATGCCAGGGAATTCGATGAAATACCTGGGATATAAATAGAATTCAGTACATTGATAACTATAGCCTGCCAGTGGAGACAGCCCAAACCTGGTTGGGAAGCCCTAGTCATTAACATCTCTTATGCGTTGTTAAAGCTTTTTTTATGTTATTTTGGAGACCTGGTGCAATGATCCTTCAGGTCACTGTAGGTAGAGAAATAGCAGCTCATTTATGCTTTCAGTTCAGCATATTAGCAACAAGGAGCTAGATACTTCTTTGCCACCACTTCATACCAACATTTGATGATGACATATCCCAGTGGGCATTACTCTTACAAATTAATATCTAGGTGAATTTTCCAATGAGAACAGCTTCCAAAGCCCCTTCCCTGTATTGAAGAGTTATCTATGTTTCTAATAAGTATTAGAGAGAAGCTGTTTCTCGTGCCAAAATGATGCTGAAGGATTCACATTTGGTACACTTGTTCAACTTGGACTCCAGGTGATCTATCAGCTTATTCCCTTTCTTTGGATTTTTTTTAAGCTCATCTTTACACAGGTGAGTCTATCCAGATCTTTAATGTTGCTAGAGTGCTCTGAGAAAAGGGCACATAGAATGTTGATTCCGAAATGTCCTGAGATATAGAAGTAGGGCAGTGGGAAAGTCAGGGAAGGGTGAGAAGCACAGAAGAGATTATTTATTTAAGAAAGAAAAGAACATTAATGTTGTAGCAAGGATCCAGTGTGTTGTCATGGTCCCATGAGGATTTTTGGATAACACAATCCTCAAGTTAGTCACCATATTGGGTAGTGACTTCGTTCTTGCTGATCTCGTCTATGTGTCATTGTAAATATTTGTGCGTCCATGTTTCATTTTGGCTACTGGATGGCCAACTCATGTAAGAAGATTAAACTCAAGTATTTATTCTTTAATTGCATTATTCAGATTTCTTTCAGGCTTGTGAATTGCACCCCAATGTTTGAATTTAACCACCTGATCCTCACATCTATCCCTCCCCTGTGAAGCACATTCCATTGCTAAAAGAAAAAGAAATATGAAATTGCTTCCTGTTGTCTGTATAACTGTTTTGATAGTTTGAGATGTTTGTCTATAAAAAATATTTCTCAACTAAAAGATCATGTAAATAATGATATTTCTTTGCTCAGCGGGTTGTTTATTTCTAATGAGGCTGCCAGTTCTCAGAGAGAGTCTATAAAAATCATTTTAAAATAACATAAACAGGGATTACAACTGTGTAAAAATAAGTGTGCATATGGATAAAGACTGGGAACACAGATAATTGAAATCAGTTGTGTTAGGGTGGTGGGAATATAGGAAAAATTTTTTCTTTTAAAAATTTTTCTTTGATGTTGTTATAATATTACTTTGTAATAAACATCAGAAAGGGAACTGTAGAAACATAGAAAAGATGCCAGGAGCAAATGCCTTCTGGGAGGAGCCCGGAGCATGCAGGGCACAGATATTTGCTAGTTACAATTATTCCATAGGCTTTATATTTGCCTGGGTGCTGAGGTTGGCACACGCTCGGGTATGGCACGTGCTTTCTTAGGAGACTCTTATCTGTAAGTTAAAGCTAGGGAGATGTCACTATTAGAACTCCAAACACATTTTTCTTCTTTAAAACAAGCTGCCTTCCACTTTGGTATGGCATCCAGATGTCTGTTTGGGTTACTTTAGATCCCAGAGGTGACTATTTGATTACCCCCTTTGATAACATCTGTTTTAGGTATCACCTTTTTGTATTGTTTCAGCAGATTTCTGGTTGAATTCTGGAAGAATAGAAGGACAAAATTGCCAGCTCCCCAACAAGATTTTTATCAGTCAGGTAGGATTCTTCTTTTAATGACCAATAGAGAGAATTACTGCTCTAAATAGAAGTTAATGATTTCAGGGTCAACTTTTAATTGTAAATCATAAGACAGATATTTAGTGTTATCTCTGCCTATTGGCATTCAGTTACAGTCTTAGTTTTGACTTGAGATGGTCTCCATGTACTTTTATAACTGCCTAATTATAAGTTATATGTAGTAATTGTGATTTTAAAGGAGAAAGTAAGATCATCTACCAAAAGAGAGGAATTTCATTCTAACTCACCAAAGAAATTTTAGGTGAGAACTTTATAATAAGGTAGTCACCTCAGATATGTTATTCAGTTTCACCGAAAGCAGACCCTGTACCTAGAGAACTCACAGGCTTTCCATTGGCCATTTGCAATGTTAAAATACTTACAGGGATCTTTACCCAGCCAGCTCCACTTTAATCTCCCAGCCCTTTTCTGTTGTACTTGTGATTAATGTCCAGTTAAACAAAGGCATGGCCAGTGATATAAGTTTCCCCCAGTCTCTAAACAAGAGGACTGAAATTCAGCATTTGTAAACTGATGGTCTAATGGACCTGGAGTTCTGAGTGAATTTAACACACAATTCTGAACATATATTTGCATGTGGATTGGGAAGGAAATAAATGGGATCTTGGAAATATTTATCCTATGAAGGAAATTTTTTTTCATAAAGGATTTGTTTCTGCTATAATCTTTCTGCTGGTTAATTGTTACTTTTTACTCCTTTTCTGATCCATACTCTTTTAGTGATCAAATGAATATAAACCAACTTCTTATGCATTGGGAATGTCTGTTTAATATTAAACAATATCTAGCAGAATCTGAAAATGCGGGAACTGAGATATTGCCTCCATGTGCACACTTCTGTGTACAAGTATACTATACAACTTGTAGCAATTACTACCACTTAATTTGGTTGAACTTGCAAGATAAACTTAATAGAAGCTTCTTAGTGTCATCAGAGTCTTCTTTGGAAGCTGCCATCAGATGAATGCTATCTCATAATACTAGCATTACGTCAGGCACCATGTACCCTGATTTAGTACCTAAGAGGAAACCAATAGCAATTATAGTGAGTTGGCTATAGTGGGAGGATTATTAGCCTAGAGAGGAGACCTGGATTATAATTAGGGCTTTATTACTAAATTTCTATATGATCTTGGGTAAGTCACTTACTTTTCTATGGCTGTTTCCTCATCTATAAAATAAGGATATTGGACAAGATTATCTCTAAGATCATTCCAAAAGCTCCAACATTCTGTGGATATGTTACTTTGCAAATTCAACCTGCTAAAGTGATGGCAAACATCGCATGCTTAAGCCTGGGTCTCATGTTGCAGTTAAACAATTGAACTATGTAAGATGATATTTAAAAAATGAAACTAAAGTAAATGAAGTTAATACTAGATAATGTTGATAAAACTTGTGTCAGCCTTCCAGTTCATTCACAATTGTCTTCTTTTGGTTTAATGTTCTTTTTCTGTTGAGTTTTCCCAGTTTTCATTTTCCATACACTCTGTATGTAAAATCTGGTTTTCATTCATCTGTGGTCAATATTTGCTACTAAAACAGAAATACATTGTCACACTTGCAAGAATAGAACTGTACTTGGGCCTCTCCTTTCCTACAAAGCAGTGCTGAGCTTTATGGAGTATAACTTGTAAATGGCACAAGATGGCAGAACCCATACATTTTAATGACTGGGATTACTAAGTGTGGACCTAAGCACATGCAAGTTGCAGGGAGAGAAATGGAAATGTAGTTACATGCTATCAGCATTAAGGAGTGTTGACAAATTCATTTGTTTCGAACCTAAGATAGCATTTCTGATGACAAATTTCACAGTGATTGGCCAGGTATATGCTGCTGGAAGGAGGGTAAACTGGAAGTTAGTTAGTATATGGTCCCAATGCCCTGCCTACAGCAGAGTGCCAACCAGCCCTAAGTGTGAAATTCAAATTCAGTGTGTGTGCTTGTGTGTGGTGTGCTTTATGGACCCGCATATACTATATTCATTAGAGATGATAAGATCTTTCACAGAATACTATAACCATCAAGGGGTTATGTTTTAAGTCTCAGTACATCAGTTAGGAGGAGCCAGATCACAGGGATACTGATGTCAACTGGGATTATACTCATAATATCCAGACAAAACAAGTTGAGGAGGATCTACATTTTTGTTGTTTATCAGAATTGTATCTCATTTGGCTGTACATTACTTTTGTCAAAATGTGTTATCTGTAAACCCATGTGTAGTAAAATTCTTCTGTAACTTTGGATCAAATGTATTTATGGTCTTTCTGTTTGTTTGACTT